CAGCAGCAGCCCGTTTAAATCTCGCGACGCCATGGAGACCCATGCTGCCATTGGTATATACCTAGTAGGTATAGAACATGGTAATCGTGAGGATTTATAAGCGTTGACGTGGCTCGACATATACCTATATATATATCTATATATATACGTGTTATCGTAGAAGCTCGTAGAACTCGTATTCCCATTTTATGCACTTACCGTGCCCGTAGAGTGCATCATTAGCCTACTCGATGAGTACCATCGTGAAAGTATTTCAAAAGGAGAGGGTATATACAAGATAAGATATTTGAAGATACCTAGACGACAAGAGGGCTGTTCGTTCGATTAACTTGACTCTTAACTTAAAACTTAAATGGGCGAGAGAACAACCTGATTCAGTAGTTCTAATTTATTTCTTTTCTTTTGATCAGAACCAGCTTTAGTGTTTAATCGAAAGTGAAAGTTGGTAACAATTCATATGTGTAAATTAAAAAGATTCTTCTTTGTATAAGGACGATATTGGTTGGTAGATTATAATCTCGACTCCAATTCAGGATATTCGGGCTACTTAGTATCGAGAGTCCTACGGCAATGGGTAGAAGGATAGAAGCCAATCGAATGTGTTAGAATGTATGCTCACATATAACTACACACCTACACATATACAAACGTATATTGGCTATCGTAAATTCGTATTCGTGTTGGTAGAGCCAGCACGAAGCTAGGCTACGTCCCATGCCGGGCTGGGATTGCATAACAACGCCAAAACCTTGCGCGCGCGTCCCGTAATCCCGTTAGGGGGTCGAATCAGGCAAAGCACATTACCCACTGTGAGGGGATAGTTGCCCTTAACTGTTCTAATTAATGTAAGGGTTTCCGTCTGGCAAATTTGCGCGATTCTATGCTCTCTCTCTCTCTCTCGCTCTCTCTCTCTCTCGCTCTCTCTCTCTCTCTCTTACACTTTCACACACACTTTCAGCCTACTGTATCTACGAATGAGCATTACAAATTGGAACGATCGAAGCATCCAGATTATTCACTAAAATCCAAATCGATCATTTTCAATCATTTCAAATATGTTTGAACTTTCATCGATTCATTTTTATCTTTAAATGTCCAAAGTTTTCAAAGTCTTCTTTTATAAGTTTCAAAACACTAATACAAATTTCAATCATTTCTTTTCTTATCAATAATAAATTAAACCGTGTGTGATTCCGAATTCGACCAATTCGTACAGATATGTCACGTTCGTTAAAATTAACAAGGTACCACCCTACAAACGAAACGATCTGAATTTTTCTATGGTAATCTATACCCTACACATCATTATCGCGTTAATTGGCAACCAACGCACTTTGCATATGACTCAGGTAAAACATTGGGATGAAAAGGAGGGTGGGATGGTAAAAAAAAAAAAAACAAGAAATAAATGAGATATATACGAAAAAAAAAAAAAAAAAATATCTACTAGAAAATAAGAAAAATAAAAAAAAACAAAAAAGGGGAAAATATATATGTGTAGCGTGAATGAGCAAAATCGGATAATGTCAAGATTCACATGGTGAAATGTCAACACTTGTCAGATTCTGTGAAAGACCGAATATTTGGATATATACTCTAATACATTAATATTTATAATGACATAAACCAAGTGACCATGTGAATTTTGACATTCTCCAATTTTGATCTCCAACGATAACACATATATATATATATATATATATATATATATATATATAGGTATATAAAAAGTACGATTTCAATCTATCAATTCTAAACGGGAGTCAGATTAAGGGAGAAGTAGAAGAATGGGGGTAGGGGTAAAGGCGAAAGGCGTTGAAAAGGTAATGGCACCTTTTTGTCGAACGCGATGATCGATCGAAGCGACTAGCAGGAGACGACGACAACGACAACGACGACTAAATGTGCTCGACGACGCCATATCGGTAAACGGCCTCGAAGTCTCTTCTTCTCTTCTCGTCTTCGAAAGAATTCAAGTTTTGTACCGTGTGCTCTTTTGTTTTCTTCCTTCCTTCCACCCCCACATGAATGCGCATGTGTCTGTGTCATGTGTTCATGATTACGAGGTGCATATAGGGATATACACGTTTATATGCTTAGGTATGTCATAGTAGTTGTCGATTGTGCAGACCAGCAGTAGCAGCATGGTGTTGTGTTGGTAGAGTAGGTAGGTAGGTAGGTAGGTAGGTAGGTAGGGATGTCTACTGCTGCCTACGCGGTTCGGTGCCGTCGCTTGCACACGGCCGGCAGTTAATAAGGCAGCCAATAATGCGACCCGATGTGTCGCACCGCGGGCGCATTGCTGATTCCGGCGCCGAAACGTCCGTAATTACATCTTCATTAAAATGATGGCGGGTCGTGTTGCAGCGGCAGGTAGTAGTAGTAGTAATAGTAGTAGTGTTAGTAGTATATATAGGATTGTGCGTGTCGAGAGTGAACGCATATATACTTAGATATATATATAGCTATATATATATATATATATATATATATANTATAT